AAGCCAGGGCGATATTGAAGATGAAAGACGTCACACCTAGACGTCTTCACCATTTAAGGAGGTAATCCACTGAACTGTTTGAAGTTTCGAAATGCCTGTTCCTTGAGAAAGGCGTTCATATATATAGTAGGAAGAATCAAAAATACACAATAGCCTTTCAAAATTTCTGAGAACTGATTGATTTTTATTTCACCAAAATGATTAGTTCGTTTACACACGCCTTTCCAACCCAAATTCTCGTTGATTCACATGCTCATTGATAAATTCATGTTGTTTCTTTAACGTTTATCCGTTAACAAAATCCACAGAATTCGTTAAAGGCGTGGCTTCCTGGATACTCCACCCAACTAACTACTGACGAATTGAGCAATCTACCCACATAACTTCTAATTTCATGCATGCCTTCAGAATGCTTGAAGTTGGGCCAGACCCTTTGAATTTTCATTCATGCTTAACATAAAATTTGATGTAGGTGAAGAAACATCGATATGCATCTATTGAAACTGTCGAGAGGGAATCATCTGAACGGTTCAATGCTCTTAGCAAATTGTAGCGTAAACGAAAGCATAAACGGCAAAGAGCAGAATATCTAGTTTTCAACAGGAAGTGTCGGAAAAAGCTGCATTCGAGTCTTTTTTAAAGTCATCTGTTTCTCTTAGAACAAAACTAATCAATCCGTTCTTGATAACAATAACAGTGAAAGTTTTCATCTTCTTCTGACTTCGGGACTTGTCAAGCGTAAAGAGTATTCATTCCTAGAAGTATGGTGTTTTACCGAGGAAACAGACATATTCGCGATAAAAAATGAGCAAATGTTGACGAAATAGGCGAGGATTTCTATGATTAATTCATTTGAAAAATTCATATTTTATGAGTGTAAAACATCTATTTTACTCAAACGATCGCCTTAAAATCGTTTATCGTTTTATGAAAGTGCAATGAACTGTGCATCAATAACTCTCTAAATTGCAAATTCCCACGGAAAAATACTGAAAAACGCCTTCTGCGCTTTCGTTGAACGGTTATTGTAAAAGCGGTATTCCATCTAAGAATCAACTGAGTCTCGGAATACTCATTTTACTTATGGGCCAATCCTTTGTACTTGAAGCGTGACTATACAGATGAACAAATACATGGTATTGAAAATCTAGCAATATTAATAATGAAACGAGAGCAAAACTGCTCAAAATGCACAAATTTTGACGAAATTTCCAGCTTGCAGCCGTGAATTTTCTAGATAGCAAAGTTGAAATCCGGGAGAGGCATAGGGTGAATTCTCCACGTTTGAACTGATGACCGGATATATATGAGTTCCCTGAGACTTCCGAAATAGAATGAACTAATCTTTCCTATTTCTTCGGATTATATTCCAAGTTGTTCAAACTTAGAAGCCTTCGTGCTTTTGGAATTGAACAAATCTGCAGTTTGAGTTGATCTCACGAGGTGCGCCTAATCTGCACGTTATTTGCTACTTAATTGTGCAAACAATTATTTGTTTACAATGAATTGCAACTTACGAAACATTTGTGAGAAAAAAGACTTTTGTTTAAAAAGACTTTTCTCTATGCAAATGCATATGATAGGAATTAGTTGCTAGTTCCATTATTTATAGTGTTGCTAATGTCATTAGCATAACCACATTTTGCGTTTTAAAATAGGCCAGTGGTTCTCATAGGTGGTGAAATTACCCATTGTGGGCTATTTGGGGATAACGGAGGAGGTCGGGAAATTAGTATTTCCTGCAGCTGCTATGTTATGATAGAACGCCATTGTGATGATGTTTTTTCACTCGAGTATGTAAATGCGATTAGTTAATGGCAGCACTCTTCCTTCTATTTTCTGAGTATCATTAGTTTATCCGGGCCTAAACAATAGTCTTTTTAGTCACAAATCTTTTGTAAGTTCTTCAATACATTGACTGACATCGTCTCTCATCAACATTGGGGATTGACTGAGAGAAACTAATAATTTTCGAGACCGGAGTCGCGAGGTAAATCATTAAATATTTCTTAACCATTATTATGATAATTTCGTTATATCGCATAATTTGTTTTCATATTATTGTTGTATCTTTATTATGCCTAACACCTGTTTCAAGAACTGTTTATTCAGGAGTTGTTTTCACGTGGAAATGTAAATTGCAGCAACTGATTTCATGTTAACCCAAACAATATGTTCTTAGCTACTAATAACTGCGCTGAGAACAAAGGAATGTATCCGTAAATCACCTTTTCAACCATTTTATTTAACCACAATGTAAACTATCTAATACCCATTCTCACAACATATATTATATGACACTGTAGATCCTATATTAAATCTACACCCTTCCGTTATCATTCATTTCATTATTACTTCTTCATGAATTCACCGTTCACTCCTAAATCCATCTCACATACTTTGGTGCTTCATCTATTTTCAAATTACACAGTTTCTCCAATTTGTTCTTCAAATAGATCTAGTCTATCGAATCAGTGGAATTATACGTATATGAAGAATGTCTTGAAAATGATGTTGCATTTAAATATAATGGATTAATTATCCAAGTTTGAGATCCGGAACAAGTCGAGTGTAAAGAAGTTTCGATCAAGCGACCAATCCCCAAACATTCAATCAAACAACCGATTCCCAAGAAATCTACCAGCTCCCAAACCCGCAGTCCCCAATCCAGATCTCTAACGAGCGAATATTGTGATTATATCAATTTGTTGTAAAATATCTAGCAAAATTGTCAAGGGTGTCAATTGATTCAAGTCATCGCGATCACTGTCGCAGTCAACAACTACTTCAATCCTATTCTTCCTCAAGTCACTCACAACCTTCCAATTCACATTACCCCAATCCAACCTTTTCCATTGCATATTAACTTATTCAGACAATCGATATTACAGTTCAACTTCCTCCGTTCCGCAACGAACAGTCCACATTCCATTCGAATCGTTAATCAAGTAAGCAAATTTCCCACAAATCAAACCAACCGCCAATCAGACGACATCGCCCATTCGAACAACTCAAACAATCAAATCAAGCAATCACCACGAGTCAATAATTTGTTGGTCTTTATTAATTTTTCTTACGTTTATCACGGAATTAATTGTGTATATCAAGAAATTATTAATATATTGTTACTGTCGCTGTTTCATTTTATTTCATTATATTTGTATATTAACGGTTAGACAAGTTGTATTAAAATCGTTACAATAATTTGGTTTTTTTTGTTATAATGAAATGGCATTGTGATGGCGGATTTTTCGCTCGAATATCTAAACGAGGCTCACTCATGGAAACACTCGTCTTCATCCTCTTGACTGAGTATCTTTACTTCATTTGGGCTTGAACAAAAGCCATTTTGACGAAGTCACAAATATCTTGTGAATATATTGGCTGACGCCGTCTCTCATGAGCAATAAGAATTGATTGGGCTCTTTGGTACGACAGAAAAGATCATTGGTCTGGTGTAGGACGATCGAGTATTTCTGAATTTGATGATATCGATATCTTGTTTCAATTTTTACAATTTCTAATTCTTGTATCGCTTATGAATGTTTTTTTAAACCGGCATAATACTCCGTGATGAACGACATCATTGCTTATGATTCTAATGACTGAAATGCTTGAGAAGTAGAATGGGAATTTCAGACTTAATGCACCTGTCGCATTTCAAAACGCTCGATAATTCGAATTTATTTTCATCCCTCCGATGAATTTTTACTTATTCATTTACCATCAGTTTGATGTAATGATTGCTTTTCCGTTTATCTCGAAGATAATTCCTCTAATGTTTATTGCATCTTCCTTCTTCATGATGCTAATGACTTGTTGTCATTAGTAATTGACCTTGTTGTCAAATTTCTTTTCTTTTATCGCTGAAGAATGTTTTTTTTTTCATTGCTTTTCGTTTTTGATTGCCGAGGTTCATATTGTTTCTGCAGTGGATGAATAAGGTTCTAAAAATACTTGTTTCATTTCAGAAATTCAATTTCTTTCACGCCATTGAGGAATTTCCAGACCGGCTTTCCTTTTGTTCCCGAAGTTATACGTAAAAATTGTACATTTTTGTATCAGGAGGGTGGGGGGTTGGGGGG